TCTCTCTCTCTCTCTCTGTCTCTCCCTGTCTCTGTTTCTCCATCTCTCTGTCTCTGTCTCTGTCTCCGTGTCTCTGTCTCTGTCTCTCTGTACTTCTATCTCTTTCTCCCTCCCTGCCTCTTTCCCCCCTACCACCAAGGGTTCACCCCAGGGTTCTTGTGTGCTAGTTAAGCACAATGTCATTGAGCTATACCCTCGGCCACTGCTGTTCAAATTGGAAACGTCCAGTTGCCTGTTCTGTGGTACAACCTTAAGCTTAAATGGATGACTCTGCCCAGCTACTTGAGAATTGCTTTTGGACATACAAATGTGAACTCTCCACATGCAATACTATATAGTTGATAATTTCAAATCAATTAACATGATCTTACCAAGTGTGGAGCATATTCTCTGGGTAAATATCAATAATTATCAAGTAGACAAACTTCTATCTTCACATAGGAAATAATGCTAAGAAAATCTGAGTGAAATTTCTCCTGTATCAGCAGTACATTATCCCATTAAGGTTTTATTTATAATGTAATTTATTCAAACATTTTGCCTTATGTATATAGTTTCTCATCTAATTATTTTTGCCAGTATGAAAAATGAAGTAGTACACAATCAGGTAAAACTATCTTCATATAGGACAGGTTTTATTTATTTGAAAAAGATTCTTTAACATTAATTTCCAGAATCCAGGGAGATATGAATAGCTCTAGGTATATGATCTTAATTTTAATAAATATCACCATAGTTCTAGTCAAAACATTTTGAGTTCTTGTCAGAAAATATAAGAGAGGATTACATTCCTAAGTTATTTCCAACTGTGCATTTAGGAGTTTGAAAATTTTGTCATTTTGATAGATACAAATTTACTTGCAAAAGAAAAAAATTACTTGCATAACCCATTTATTAGCTAGTTGGAGTATCTTTTTCATACTTTCTTGCTTTTACAAGATATTTCTCTGTTTGATTTAAGGATTATTGAAAACTATTTTTCTCTAGAGTTCAAGTCTTTAATAACGTTCTGCTGATTGTGTTTTATTATTTCATTTCTATTTTAGTTTATGATTACAGCAGGATTATTTTCCATATTACTAGCATAATGGCTGACAGGGCACAAGCACCAGCCTGCCAGGCACAAGGTCCTGAGTTCAATCCCTGATACCAAAAAAAAAAAAAAACCACCAATAGGTGACAGTGCAGAGGAGAATGCAAGCTGACACCAGAATACCTAGCTAGCGCCAGCCCCTTTTACCTGTGTGACCTCACACAGGTTAGGTAATGTATTTTTGCATTAGTTTATCCATCCTTACAATGGGCACAATAATGATGCCTAGAAGGTATATTTTGAAGATCAAATAAACTGATAGGACCTTTTAACATTCAAAATTGAGAAGTAATGTTTTTTTCAAATATAGCCAAGTATACATGTTTCTGATCGTCTGTGTTCCTAGTGAATGATTACAGATTATTGTCCTTATTTTAAGTAATCAATTGGCTTGTAAGAGAGCCTATTTTGATATTACCTACAGTTGAATTATTTTTTAGGGGAGGTTTATGTTTTGGTTTTGGTGCCGAGGACTGAACCCAGAGCTTCCTTCCAGCTTGCTAGGCAAGCATTTTACCGCTGAGCCAAATCCCCAGTCCCTTGATGTTACCTATGTAAAGAACAGTTCTGTATGTTCTTAGTGCTTATTAAAATAGGTTTAATTTCTTTGAAGACATCACTCAACACTCTTTTCTTTCTGTACTCTATGTCTCTGCCTACTTACATTGTTTCCAACAAAACTTCCTAACCACATGTGAAATAGCGATTACCTTCCGCATCTTGTTTGATACGCTGCTGAAATGTACTTCCTCCTCCTTCCTCTTTCTCCCTTCATTTATTTTAGTCTTTTCAATAATTTATGAAATTAAACCATGGCAGAGATTTAACCTGTGCTAAATCTGAGCAATTTTAAACTGTTGGATTCTTAACTTTTCTACTGTACCTTCTCTTTATTTTTCAGCTGAAAAGAGGTTGTGTTTCTCAAATTGTGAACACAAAAGTCTTCCAAATCAATCGTTCTGGACTTTCCATGACATTTCACATCAGTGGAATTGTTACAGAATCTGGGACAGGTAATGATCGCCTTTCGTGGCCAACCTGGGCTGTCAGGCTGCTCATTGAGAGAACCTTGCTGAGTTAGCAGTATGCACCCAGCTGCTAAAATTATTACTCAAATGGTAAAAGTCATTTTTTCCAATTGTCAAGTTTAAGTAAAATTTTCTTAATAATTTTTAAAATAATCTCCTAAATGTTGCACATTTATATCTGTTTCTGTGATCACATCAATCAGAGGAAGAAATTTTCCTATTAGAAGTGGGCTAATAGGGCCAGCAAGACAGTTCAGTGGTCTAAAGTGCCTGCTTAGGCAAGCTTAGGCACACTCTAGGGACTGTGGTTCATCCCCAGCACCACATGCCTCGCCAGCCCTGCCCTCAGGGTGGGCCGAGCTGCCAAAAAAACAAACAAACAAACAAACAAACAAACAAACAAAAAAGTGGGCTAATAAAATAGCTATATCTTTTTAACTTTGTGTAAATCAGTTGGCAAGGAATTTCCAAAATGTGACCTGTGGTTTAATTCTCAGTATGTGCAGTCCTTATTTTGAGAGTTAAGTCCAGATCCCTGCTTAGATGTTTATGAAGGAGTTTTGGAGTACAACCACCTTCATTGTTTACCTGACCTAACAGCTCTAAGCTTGAGTAGTTGTGTCAAAGCCCTTGTTGACCCTTCATCTTACAATAGCTATCAGATTCTACAGAAGCAGCATGCTAACACCTGATTTTGAACAAATAGTAGTGAGCCAGGGAGATAGCTCAGTGCCTTAACCACCTACCTGTCAAGTGCAAGGACCTGAGTTTGGTCCTTGGTACCCCCACAAAAAATTTAAATAAAATAAAAAAGTTGTAGAACAACTAGGAAGATTTACTAATCCAATAATTATTAGGGAAACTTTTACAAAACTGCTCACAATAAATTCTTAGTAAATTATTATAAAAAGAAGTGACAATTTGGGCCACTTCAATTACTAATTTTGTTTCTTGTTCCTTAAAATGGAGTTGAGATTATATTATTGATGCTTTATGTAAATATACTTGATCCATATTATGATAACTTTTACAACAGATAAGATTCTCACTGTTACAGCAATTTACCTTAATATGGTTTATTCGGCCTATTCACTTGTTTTGATGAAATCATAAGGCCTTTCTATTTACTGCACTTTGCCACCCGATATATTTCAGTCCTAGCAAAGTCAAAGTACTACATAGTTATGCTGTAATCTCAAAAAATGGACTTCAAAAACAAAACTCTTTTATTTGTGATATCTATGACAGTCTCCATTATAAAGACAGTTTTCCAAGCCAAAATTGAATAGATTAGCAAGACAGAAGAATTAAAATTTTTCTGCTATATCTGTGTATTAATATGATTCCTTAGTTTGAACTGCATTATAACCAGGTGTAGGCTGTGCTGGAAAATGCTTCAAGTTATACACATTTTTCTCTATGTAAACAAAAATATAAATTTAAAATTTATTTATAATCCAAAGCTGCATTTAGAAAGTTAACAGATGTATCTTTTTCTTATTTTTTTTCTTTTCAAAGTTTTATTGATAAACATATAGCAATGAGACAGTTTCAAATCAAATC